AGTAAAGGAGAACTGAGAGAAATTTCCTTTAGTGTAAAAATCATATTTATTTTTCAGCATGTTTTTTATTTTGATGAAGTCTTTGGGGAGGCATGTACCAATCAGGATGTGTATATGAAGACTGCTCACCCCCTCATTCAGCACATTTTTAACGGGTAGGGAGTCATTGCTTACATTTATTCCTTTTATCCTTTTAGTTTTCATTTTTCATGTATGACTTTGGTGTGTAACTTAAGTTTTCTCTAAAAAAACATTAATTTCACCTTTTCCACTTACCCTGTTTAAGGTTGTGTGTGTGTGTGTGTACATAAAATATAGAAAAATGTGTATACAATTTTGACAAACAAAGGGCCTGACCTTGCAGTCCTTATTCAGGCAAAACTCCCCTTGTATTCAGTGGGAGATTTGTCTGCAGAAGGAGTGCACACTCAGACGCCCAGGATTACTAGGGAGGAGTTTGGTCTAGTTAGAATGAGAGATTTGGTGTCAGGATTCCAGGATCCTAATTCTCTGCTCTGACAGACTTTCTTGTGATTTAGAGTAAGTCTCACAGAACTCAGTTGCTCAGTTTACCCATCTGTGAAAGAGAAATAAAACACCTTCATGGGACTGTTGTGAGAATGTTTGTAAAGCACTTTGAAATGTACTTATATAGTTCATAGTAGTATAAAGGAATTATAAACTTTATCAATAAAGCTGTGGTTTATCTTTATTTTATTTACTTATTTCTATTTAGAGAGAGACTTATAATATACCTTCTGGTTAATGGAAAAATCAGGGTGGTTTTGCATGTATAATTGTAGTTGAGTACAGAGAACAGCAAGCTTGAATAGGTCATAATTTCATTTTGACCTCTTGATGGAAAGGAATTACATGTCTATACTGGAAAATTAACAAGATGAAGCTTTCTGTTATCAAGAAGCTCCAAGTGTCATCAGCTGGGCCTGAAATTCTATCACCAGTGTTCTCATTGTTGGATTTTCATGAATCAGGCCCTTGCGAAGAGGGGAGGGAGATCTAAGAGGGGAGGACAACTTGCTGTGTAGACACTGAGAATTAGTTTGCATTTTATGGACTTTGTTCATGTAAGGTTAAAGTGATACACCCATAGACAAAGATACAGCAACTGAGAGTAAACTGAGGTAAGCAAACTTCAACATGCAAAGTGTAGTGCTAGGGTTGTTAAGCTTTTTTCATTGCGTGGACCATATGTTAATATGGAAGTGGCTTCATGGACACCCTACTCCTTGCTTTCATAATCATGCAGACCTGCTCTCCTTCAGTTCACAATCAGTCCTTTCCCCCACTCATGATCACATAACATCCCTGTGGTAGCTACAATTGTTTACATGGAAGAGTAATACCGCAAAAGTTTTTAATGTATTTTTAGCTTCTTTTAATGTCATTTTAGCACCTGGAAACAAGGACAAGAGCCAGCGCTGTGTCTCTACCCCCTCTCCACAGAACACAATTTGAGAATCTCTGATATAACAGATTGTATTTTTCAGGCTCTCAGATGGGTATGCATGATAAAATCCCATCACTGAGGGTCAGCAATGTGTGTAGATATTAATATTGCAGAATCTCTTTTAATAGACCTCAATGGATCAGATGTAGTACTAAAAATAAAAATTATCTTTACAGAGGCAACGCCACTTGCTTTGCATATGGACAGACTGGTGCTGGCAAGACTTACACTATGATAGGGAGTCACCAGAACCCAGGACTCTATGCACTGGCTGCTAAAGACATTTTTAGACAACTAGAGGCATCCCAGTCAAGGAGAGAGCTCCATGTATGGATCAGTTTTTATGAGATCTACTGTGGACAGCTTTATGACCTGCTAAATGGAAGGAGAAGGTATTTAAATAAAAGAGACACATTGCTGTGAAAAAAGGATGACAAATCAGTTTATTTCATTATGGAGTTGGATTGAACAGAATTAAGTTTTCTAATTAGTGAAATTGATTTAAATGGAGCTATTTATGGAGTAAGGTATTGCTCAATGTGAGTAAACATAGTAGAATCTGGCCCTAAATTTTGTAGCATATATAGACACTCCCCCTTTGTGTTATTTCTACAGGAATAAAATCAATCCAAGCAAAGACACAAATCTGAGAGATGAACTCTGTATTAGATACACTCTGCCAGGCTTCACCCCTTGTGATGAACAGTGATAAGACAGTATCATGTGTCAGAGTCACATTAGCTTTTCACCTTTCTTTAGCGAGGTAACCTGAGATTGAACTGGAATTTTACACACTCTAGGAACAGTTGAGTAGCACAAAGCAGCTGAAAATAAGCAGAATGAATTACGGATAGGAGTCCCATAGGAAGGAAAAAATGCAAACTGCTCCTCAGTCTTCTCTCAACCCTGGCAGTGCGGTGGGGCCCCCGACTCCCTCAAGATGGCTGTTTACTAATCTCTTTTCTGAAGAGGGTGTGACTTGGAGTGCGGACATTAATAATTCTGTAGCAAAAGTATCTAGATCAGTACAGTGGCACTAAACCCAAGGTTTCAGAGTAACAGGCGTGTTAGTCTGTATTCGCAAAAAGAAAAGGAGGACTTGTGGCACCTTAGAGACTAACCAATTTATTTGAGCATAAGCTTTCGTGAGCTACAGCTCACTTCATCAGATAAGCTAAACCCAAGGAAGATCAAAAGAACTCAAGATGTTCCTCAGATAAAAAAAACTTACCTGACCGAAAATATCTAAACACAACAAAACAAGATAACATTCAGGCTAAATCCTGCTGAATAATAAAAGCCTGGCAGGATGGTTTTAGCTTTCAGCTGGAACCACTGGGGCTCTTGAGGGGAGTGCACTTTGAGAGTGCTGCAGTGCAGTGCAAAGAGGCTTCCTTGTGCTTTGGAGAGTCTGTGCCTTATCATGAGGCAAGCATGTTTCTCTGTGTTGGCTCTCCTGCAGCCCTTTTTAGAGGCCTTCTTGATGTTGAGCTATAGCCCATAGGGCTGTTTCCTTGGACGTAAGCCAACCAGTTGGTATTACCAACTATACCGTAACATTCACTTCTCTGTAATTTGTAGCAGGGAGTCACTCATGTACTCTGATTCTGCAGCTGTCGGATCTGCTGCAGAATCCACCTACTGCCACAGAACTATGTTCCAGAACCTAAGCTGTCATTAAAACGAATTTGAGCCTTCATGATTGTGAAGATATACTCAATTCATGTTTTCAAGGTTAAGTGATGCAGTGTGATCTTCCTGAGCCTGGAGGCAGCCTGAAACAAAAGCTCTCAGAGAGGTGTGAACTCTGAAATCTAAAGATGACAATTTAAATGCCATCATTAACTATTTCAGTGCTGATCATTTTAGCAGGAACATCCAGCTAATACACACTTCCAGTGTCCCTTTAACAGTGACATTTGAAAAGTACATATTATACATGACAGGTGGTATATCAATGACAACCTGATTCATTGCCTTGCTAGTCACTCCTTGCAGTACTTCTCTGTAGCAGTGGCTCTCAAACTGTGGGGCGTGCCCCCTGGAGGAACATTCGGGGAGGCACATGGCAGGGCTGGGGCCAGCCCCCATGTGGGGCAGGGAGGGAGTGCCACACTTCCAGGTGCGCAGCAGGGGCTGGGCCAGCCCCCTTGGGGGGCAGGGAGGGAGTGCCACACTTCCAGACCTGCTGCACCCCCAGTCCAGCACTGTCTCCAGGCCCAGCTCTGCCCTCACTCCCTGTCCACCTCCAGCCCAGCTCCAGCAGCAGGTCCATTCCACCCCCTGCTCTGGTCCCAGCCCAGCTCTGCTCTCATTCCCTCTATGACCCCAGACTAGCTCTGACACCAGCCCCAGCTCCTCTCCCATTCCCAGTTCCGCTCCACACCTCTGCCTTCAGCCCAAGCTCCACTGCTGAGAAAGCCTTGGCTATGTGGTCATGGGGGGGTATGGGGGCACGGACAGGTTCCATTACTGGTAAGGGGGTAGTGTGACTGAAAAAGTTTGAGCACCACTATTCTATAGCACTGACGTGTAGGCAGAATCATTACTACTGTATAAGACTTTCTTCAGAATAACCCTTTTCTACTAAGCCCTGTTGTTTCCTCTGCAGACTTTTTGCAAGAGAAGATAGTAAGCATGTTGTACAAATTGTTGGCCTGCGTGAGGTTCAAGTGGATACTGTAGACCTACTATTAGAGGTAATTTGATTGGTAATGCTTATTTTATCTTCTAAAGCCTCTGTTGCACTAACTTATCAAATAGGTTACCGTGGAGTGGATAAGGTCATTTTTGGCATACGCAGGTGTTGCTGCTCCAGGTTGTATAATGTACACATGTGCATTCCATTATGGGCTCCAAAAGAGCATCAGTACAACTCTGAACAGCTTGGTGGCCACAGCAGAGCATGAAGGGACACTTTCAAAACTGCCTTTAATGAATGAGCTCATGTGCAGCTAAGACAAGTTACAGTGATGCACATGAAAAGCTGACTTGGAGCTGTCACTGCTACGGATACACCTCAGGTGGGATCTTTGCCATGAGGTTGAATGAACCACCCAAGAAATGACAATATCCCAGCAAAACCAACCCTGAAATATCTTAGAATATAAAAAAAATGGCTATGAAATATTTTTGCATTAACCTTACATCACTAAAAATAGTTCCCAAAGGAAAATGTAAGTAAAACTTTACAAACTGGCATGCACTGCATTTGGCAAACAAGACACAGATGGTTGATCTGAAAAGTTGATAGCATTAGGGCAGGTCTACACAACCGCGGGGATCGACGCCCTGAGATCGACCCACTGGCAGTCGATTTAGTGGGTCTAGTAAAGACCCGCCAAATCAACTGTAGATCACTCTCCAGTCAACCCCTGTACTCTACCCACAACGAGAAGAGTAAGGTAAGTCAACGGGAGATTTTCTCCCATCGTCTCCCCGTGGTAACTCGACCTAAGGTACGTCGACTCCAGCTAGTTATTCAGCTCAGTAAGGAATTGAAAACTATTACCTGATAGCGTAGTTGATTTATTGTTTAGGACTTGGAACAATATTGTCCATTTATATACCACTCGACAGACACTATCTTCTGGGGTTTTGTTTTTCCATTAACTCTAAGCACAGGATACGCTGGAGACATTTCTGCAAATTCGAGTGCAGATCTGGTATACAGTAGATTAATACATTCCTCTGTATTATCACATCCTGCCTACAGAAGAGTTATTACATGGTTTTGTTCTCACAGGTATGTTGGCAAAACAGCTCATTTCATATTGTCCATAGGCTCTTTTGAACACAGAAAGAGCCTTTAGACTCATTTGATGCTCTTGAATAGCATGCTACCAAATGTATTAGAAGAGTCTTCAATGCATACCTCATGATTATTCATTATTTACTGATGCATTGCCTTCTGTTCACAAACTCTTCCCTGAATTTAGCTCTGGTTTAACAAATATTCAGGAGCTATAGCAGCCAGCTAGATTGCTGATTAAGAGTGGAAGTCCAGCAGAAGGCATGAATACTGTATATTTGTATCTAAAGAGTGTTTTGATTTTGCTAGGTTGACATTTTATTGTATTCCTATTGTTCCAGAAACTATAATATAGACTCTTTTTTGTTTCCTTACGATGCCCATTGTTGGTGGGCTCGCTGAAGCAATCTTGTGACTCTTCAGAGATTTGGGACAGAGAATTATCCAGAGTTGTAGCCCAGAAGGTCCCTTAACCCATCTTCCACCTCTCACCTTGTTCCGTTCTTGGTAGTTAAGTCTGAGTATAATTGATCACGTCAACCTTGCTGCTTGCTTTGACAATGTTTCATTTGCTCCTGGGTACAGGGATGGATGAGTGGATTGGTACTTGGTGTCACACATTACTTGCCTCTTAGATTTCTGGCTGACTAAACCTTTCAATGAGATTAGAACATGAATTTTTTTTAAAAATCATCCTGCTCATGAGTCCAACAGTAACCTCTGAAGCCTCATTTTGTTATTTTCATTTCCACCATACATTTATTCCATGTGATTTTGTATTGTAGTAATTTAACAAATAGGAATGGAAGTTCAATACACTGACATTCTTATGAATGGTCTCACTTTATAAACCCTTTGTCAGCTGCACTGAATACCAATACATGGGGTTCTGAATCAATATACTATATGAATAGTGTGCATGTTTTGTATGTACGATTTACCTTTGTTTTGTCCTGTTTGTTTTCCAGGTAATTTTGAAGGGTGGGAAGGAGCGTAGCACTGGGGCGACTGGAGTCAACTCAGATTCCTCCCGTTCTCATGCTATCATCCAGATTCAAATTAAAGACTCTGCAAACAGAATGCGTGGAAGGTGAGGTTGGAAGCTGACTTATTGAATTTGATAGAGACATTTCAGTTTCATCCTGTTGGCTTTAAATGAGACCATGCACATCTGCAATGGCAGAGCAGCCATAGATGGTTAGTAAGTGGTAGTGAAGCAGTCAAGTGCAAGGACGGTCAGGATACAAGCTGTGATTTGCAGATGTGTTTGCTGAGCTCCTGGGCTGTGTAGAATAGTGACCCAGTACCAGAGGTCCTTACTGAATGGCCATTGGTTGCAGCAGTAAGTGGGTATCCTTCCCACCTAGTCAGAGAAAAGATGGTCAGCTGCTTATTATTTTTGGATGTCAAAAAATATGGTAGGCACCTTCCAAACAAGTAAAATACAATCTTTACCCCAAGGAGCTTATTCTAACTGTAAGACAAGAGAGCAGGTCTGAGCAACAAATAATTGGGAGGGTGGTGAAGAAGGAGGGAGGAAGAGTTAATAAGATTACAAAGAGAAGGATATGTGGTTATGTAGGTGTGCCATGTTTTTAGTTATTGAAGGAGTGACGAAGCTGGGAGGGATGCAGGTGATAGTAGGAGAGGGTGGGGATATTGTGGAAGAAGAGGAAGATAGAGGGAGAAATTACAGATCGGTAAAATAGCTAGCAGCCAAAGAGGAAAGTTAGGGAAGAATATGAGAACAAATGGAGATCTTGAGGGAAGAAAGATCAGCAGGAACATAGATTAGTTCTGAAACCATCTGACAATTCAGTGCATCAGTTAGTTCCCTTTAATTGGCTTTATAAACTGCACTGCATTTCTATCTGATTAGGACAGACAACACTGGAATGAAACATCTGTTTTAGCCGGAGGGAGACCCAAAAAGTTATTCTTTTTTAAGTAATCTGTGTTCTCTCTCAAATTACTGGCATTGTGATCATCTAGAGATGGGAATGTGTTATACCTGAAATAGCTGCTCCATTAAACCGTGGCGCACTCTCATCACAAGTAATTAGACTTCCTGTTATGACTGTCTGTTACAGTGCCAGAATGCTCTGACTCTGTTCCAGTAGCTACTGGTATTTCATTACTGTGATGCCTCTGAGACACTTGCAGTGGGTATTTCCCCCTGTTTTATGGTAGTAATATTTAATCTTTCTACTGATGGCATAGTGTGTTGCTACTATCAGCTTAAAAAAAGAAGCTAAAGTAAAAGCATCTTTTTGTTTTTTCCTAGGATCTCTTTCATTGACTTGGCTGGCAGCGAGAGGGCAGCTGATGCCAGAGACTCAGACAAACAAACAAAAATGGAAGGAGCAGAAATAAACCAAAGCCTTTTAGCTGTAGGTTACTCACATTTGTAGAGAAGGTTTTTGTAATTATTGTTCTTTAGGTTGGTTCTTAGACTGATAGTAAACAAGGAAGTAACATGTGGATGGATCCCAGTGGAAAATACACAATGCTAAATGCTGACAATTAAATTGCTCTCTAGTCATGAATCCGATTAGAAGAAAAAGACTTTGTGAGGAAAAACAACTTTTTAAATATATTCCTACAGCCAGATTAAAATAGCACTGAAAAGTCAGATATTTTATAGTAAGTCCATGCCATATTGTCTATAGTAAATTCATGTTCTCTTTTTCTGTGAGGCTTAATGCAGGTTTGTAAAAACACTAAGTTCCACTACTGAAAGGCCCTCTAGAATTGGAGAGTATTTATTATTATTATGGTGATAATCTCAACTCTGTGTGCATATAAACACATTCTAATACCCAAGAACAAATGGTTGGAACCATTGTCCATTAGTGTACCACAAAAAACTGTTACAGGACACAGAAATCAGGCAATTTAGATCCAGGGTTCCTACAACAACCGTATCTCCATCCACTTGAGTCATATATGCAGGTAAATATTTTACATTTCACACTGCTGTGTGATTTTTATGTGGTGGACCTGATTGTAATATTTGTGTACAACACCTTTTATTTTGTTATCGGAATGCAAAATTATGCCTCTGAAAAGTGGGAGGAAAACCATTCCCCTGATTGTCTCTGTTCTCATACAGTAGAATATCAGAGTTATGAACTGACTAGTCAACCACATACCTCATTTGGAACCGGAAGTACACAATCAGGCAGCAGCAGAGAGAAAAAAAAGAAAAAGAGCAAATCCAGTACAGTACTGTGTTAAACATAAACTACTAAAAAAAAAAGGAAAAGCAGCATTTTTCTTCTCCATAATAAAGTTTCAAAGCTGCGTTAAGTCAATGTTCAGTTGTAAACTTTTGAAAGATCAACCATAATGTTTTGTACAGAGTTACGAACAACCTCCATTCCTGTGGTGTTCGTAACTCTTTGATTCTACTGTAATTTCAGAAAATCTGGATGAATTTTTATCATACTTTTCAGAAAACTTCCCTTCGGGACAGGGAAAAAGCATGAGACTTTTCATGCTGAAAGGAAATATTATGAAGACATTTATAAGCTCATTGAAACAAGTGTTTAAAGAGAGAGAGTCAACCTGATATTAGTGAGTTTATGAATTTAAAGTATTTTCCTGTTAAAAGGAGTAAAGCCCGCCCATGAGTCTCCCTACCAACTTTTGTGGTTTTAGAGTCGGATTTTTCTTTTACTTCTTGTTGTGTGAATAACCCACAAAAATTAGAGAAAATTGACTGTGCAAGACAGAGTGAAACTGATTAAAGGTGCATTACAAAGCAATTTGTGAATAAATTGAAAAGATAAACTTTTCTTCTCTAATCTCCTCTGAAGGTGCTATCACAGGGGTCTACCATTGAACCCTACCCCAAGCAGAGTTTTTACCCCAAAAAGGGAGAAATACCATAGAATTTTAAGAATAATTCACTATTGGAACAACTTACCTAGGACTGTGGCAGATTCTCCATCACTTGAACTCTTCAAATCAGGGCTGGATGTCTTTTCAAAAGATCTCCTATAGCTCAAACAGAAGTTTATGAGCTCAGTGCAGAAATTATTGGATGAGGTTCTCTGGCCTATGTCAGTTGCTCAGATTAGATGATCATAATGGTCACTTTTGGCTTTAAAATCTATAACATTCACTAGAGACTTTGTTGCTATTGATTTCATGTGGAAAGTGCTCAGATACTTGTTATGGTTAGCAGTATAAAACCCTAAAATAGAGAGAGAATCTCTTTCAGTTAGAGGCCTCTTAGGTGTAATTTCTAACAATAATTAAAATACATTCAGAAAAAAAAATATGGATTTGAAGTGGATGGTGTCCCATTAAGAATGCAATGTCTGTCTCAAGCTAGAGTTACTACCACAGTACTGTAATCTGTCTCAAGATATTTTCTCCTGTCACTGCTAGTACTCTCACTAATAATGGCTTCCCTCAGTGGGCCCATGGTTCATTTTCTCAATCGTAGAAAGCATCCGAGTCTGGTATGGATTGTGACACACTTCTACTTGTGCTGGTGAAGACACATGGTAAAAAGAGATGGACATTTGAAAATATCAGTCTTTTAATAGGCAACGAACAAATCAAGAGGCAGATGTTTCTCCAAGATTACGTGCTGTTCTTGCTGATCATTATTAACAAGAAAATAGATCATGGGTATCTTTTTCAGGAAGGCACACTTGCATGTAGCTGCTCAGGTCCCATTAATTTTAATGGGAGTTCTATAGCTAAATCCCACTCTCTGTGTTGAAAGCATAGCCCTAATGTTTTGTGTGTGTCCATTATTAATCTGCCAAAGGGACTCTTTTGTTATGGGATGGTGAAATAGTCACTCAGACGTTAAGACTGCAAGTGTTATTGTGGATATGTTTATCTGTGGGTCTCCGGAAGCCGGCAGCCTTCCCCACTCCTTAGTGTAAGGAAGCGTAGTCTGCTGCTGTCTGTTCTAAGGATATAAGGGTGACAGGGGAAATAGTGAACTCTCATAGTTTTGGGTACCGTTTCAATCTCTCCTTTTTGTTGCGTGACTGATACATTTTTTTCTCTCTCTCCTTTTTAGTTAAAGGAATGTATTCGGGCTCTGGATCAGGAACACGCTCATACTCCTTTCCGGCAAAGCAAGTTAACTCAGGTAAAACCAAAAACCAAGCCAGTGACTGACACTTCACTGAACAGAGTTGAAATGATAGTAATAAAATTAAATAAGCCATGATTTGGTGACTGCATATTGTTAACCCCTTGGAGACTGGACACTTGCATAGCTTCCCAAGCATTCATTCCGATTGCTGGGGCCGGTTTTGTTCAATATCTTCATAAATGATCTGGAGGATGGTGTGGATTGCACTCTCAGCAAATTTGCGGATGATACTAAACTGGGGAGGAGTGATAGATACGCTGGAGGGGAGGGATAGGATACAGAAGGACCTAGACAAATTGGAGGATTGGGCCAAAAGAAATCTGATGAGGTTCAATAAGGATAAGTGCAGGGTCCTGCACTTAGGATGGAAGAATCCAATGCACTGCTACAGACTAGGGACCGAATGGCTAGGCAGCAGTTCTGCGGAAAAGGACCTAGGGGTGACAGTGGACGAGAAGCTGGATATGAGTCAGCAGTGTGCCCTTGTTGCCAAGAAGGCCAATGGCATTTTGGGATGTATAAGTAGGGGCATAGCGAGCAGATCGAGGGACGTGATCGTTCCCCTCTATTCGACATTGGTGAGGCCTCATCTGGAGTACTGTGTCCAGTTTTGGGCCCCACACTACAAGAAGGATGTGGATAAATTGGAGAGAGTCCAGCGAAGGGCAACAAAAATGATTAGGGGTCTAGAACACATGACTTATGAGGAGAGGCTGAGGGAGCTGGGATTGTTTAGCCTGCAGAAGAGAAGAATGAGGGGGGATTTGATAGCTGCTTTCAACTACCTGAAAGGGGGTTCCAAAGAGGATGGCTCTAGACTGTTCTCAATGGTAGCAGATGACAGAACGAGGAGTAATGGTCTCAAGTTGCAGTGGGGGAGGTTTAGATTGGATATTAGGAAAAACTTTTTCACTAAGAGGGTGGTGAAACACTGGAATGCGTTGCCTAGGGAGGTGGTAGAATCTCCTTCCTTAGAGGTTTTTAAGGTCAGGCTTGACAAAGCCCTGGCTGGGATGATTTAACTGGGAATTGGTCCTGCTTCGAGCAGGGGGTTGGACTAGATGACCTTCAGGGGTCCCTTCCAACCCTGATATTCTATGATTCTATGATTATAAAGGAAACATAAGCATTCACAAGGTTAATGCCAGCTGACAGCAAAAGCTACAGACAGTTACTCCCCGGGGAATTGTCTATCGGAGGAGGTCCCAGAAGTTGGAAAAAGACTAATGTAGTGCCCCTCTTTAAAAAAGGGAAGGAGGATGATCTGGGGAACTACAGGCCAGTCAGCCTCACCTCAGTCCCTGGAAAAATCATGGAGCAGGTCCTCAAGGAATCAATTCTGAAGCACTTAGAGGAGAGGAAAGTGATCAGGAACAGTCAGCATGGATTCACCAAGGGCAAATCATGCCTGACTAACCTGATTGCCTTCTGTGATGAGATAACTGGCTCTGTGGATGAGGGGAAAGCAGTGGATGGGTTATTCCTTGACTTTAGCAAAGGTTTTGATACGGTCTCCCACAGTATACTTGCCAGCAAGTTGAAGAAGAAGTATGGGCTGGATGAATGGACTATAAGGTGGATAGAAAGCTGGCTAGATTGTCAGGCTCAACAGGTAGTGATCAATGGCTCCATGTCTAATTGGCAGCCGTTATGAAGCGGAGTGCCCCAAGGGTCGGTCCTGGGGCTGGTTTTGTTCAATATCTTCATTAATGATCTGGAGGATGGTGTGGATTGCACCCTCAGCAAGTTTGTAGATGACACTAAACTGGGAGGAGTGGTAGATACACCGGAGGGTAGGGATAGGATACAGAGGGACCTAGACAAATTAGAGGATTGGGCCAAAAGAAATCTGATGAGGTTCAACAAGAACAAGTGCAGAGTCCTGCACTTAGGACGGAAGAATCCCGTGCACCACTACAGACTAGGGACCCAATGGCTAGGCAACAGTTCTGCAGAAAAGGACCTAGGGCTTACAGTGGACGAGAAGCTGGATATGAGTCAACAGTGTGCCCTTGTTGCCAAGAAGGCTAACGGCAATTTGGGCTGTATAAGTAGGAGCATTGCCAGCAGATCAAGGGACGTGATCATTCCCCTCTATTCGACATTGGTGAGGCCTCATCTTGGGTACTGTGTCCAGTTTTGGGTCGCACACTACAAGAAGGATGTGGAAAAATTGGAAAACGTCCAGCGGAGAGCAACAAAAATGATTAGGGGGCTGGAGCACATGACTTATGAGGAGAGGCTGAGGGAACTGGGATTATTTAGTTTGCAGAAGAGAAGAATGAGGGGGGATTTGATAGTTGCTTTCAACTACCTGAAAGGGGGTTCCAAAGAGGATGGATCTAGACTGTTCTCAGTGGTGGCAGATGACAGAACGAGGAGTAATGGTCTCAAGTTGCAGTGGGGGGGAGGTTTAGGTTGGATATTAGGAAAAACTTTTTCAGTAGGAGGATAGTGAAGCATTGGAATCGGTTACCTAGGGAGGTGGTAGAATCTCCTGCCTGGGAGGATTTTAAGGTCCACTTGACAAAGCCCTGGCTGGGATGATTTAGTTGGGGATTGGTCCTGCTTTGAGCAGGGGATTGGACTAGATGACCTCCTGAAGTCCCTTCCAACCCTGATATTCTATGATTTTATGAATGGTGTGGTGGAGAGTTCACTAAACTCCAGGATAAAGTTATTTTATTCCTGTGTGAAGTTCTATATGGAGAATCTTGTAGATCAGTTGTTCTGAGATGTTCATATGGTGGACAACCACTTAGAGATAGTCTCGTGATTACATTCTTTGTAGTACTATCATGCAAGCTGTAATCAGGATTACGTTACTCTAATTGTAACATATGCTTTATTCTCCCAAACACACCAGCACTTTTGGGGTGCCCAGTAAGAAAATGGGCTTGTTTAAAGGACAGATTGAACACTTGAATTCAGTTTAAATCTTATATGAAAAATCACAGAGGCAAGTTGTTTAGGTGGGAGAAGAGAGGGACACTTGGTTCTAAACTGTTAAACTGGATTGTTTAAAAGAAATACATTAGTTGCTGAGAATCTTAAGCTATATTTTTCCTCCTCCTCCAAGGTATTAAAAGATTCTTTCATTGGAAATTCTAAGACGTGTATGATAGCTAATGTGTCACCTAGCCACATAGCTACGGAACACACCCTGAACACATTACGATATGCTGACAGGTAGGTGACTTAAATTTTCCATGTTGAGAGTCAAAAAGGAGTTATGGTTTGAGATGAAAATATTTGGATTGCATCAACTGGTGAGTTCTTAGGGCAAAGAGCAAAAAATGCATCTTACAGTGCATAAACATAATCTTCATCTGCTACACTATTATATTGGGGCACTTAATTCTCATAGGTGTTTTAAATTCTTCTTTCAGATGTTACATAATTTAGGTCCTAACAGCTAGTAGTGATTCAAATCTCATGGTACTCCTCATAACAGTAAGGTTGATAACCCCAACATCCTTGACAAACTCTAGTTTTATTTGTATGATGGTACTTCCCAGAATATGTTAGATGCTGTCCGTACCCAGAGGAAAATGCATTGTGAACTCTTCGGGTCAAGGACTCTGAACACAAGCAACACAGAAAAGGGTGGAGGAGAAAGATAAAAGAGACAATCACCAAAAGCCATGTTAATTCATTAATTTCCTATAGACATCAAGATGGACGTGGGTCTTGAGGAGAGGAGAAGTAGATACAATTTCCTTCAGTTTAAATTGGTCAGAGGTATTCTTCACTTCCTAATTTAAAACTGTTGTGTATTGTTATTGTTCCCCATTGAAACAGCTGCTGCAAACCTCCACAGAAGTAACTGCATTTCTGTAGCAGATGATCTGATGCCTCCATGGATTAGCCAATGATTAAAATCCAAATTGTGACATTGAAGTCAATATTTAATGTACCAAAGTATTAGTTTGACCTAATGATATTGTAAATTATTTGAAAGCATTTAATTTTTCTAATGCACAGTCCTTATTTACAGGGTAAAAGAACTAAAGAAAGGGATTAAATGTTGTACCCCTGTCACAAACAGATGTCGGATAGCTGGAAATGTATCTCCAAAACGTATCCAAAACTCTCCTTCCACGCACATGGGAGATAAGAGCTCTCCAAAGAAAGTAAAACTAGGACTCCATCATCCTTTAAGTTCTTTGAGAATAAAGGCATCCCCTTCAGTGTTCCATCCAACCAATGTCCCTTTTTCCTCTACCCCAAAAGGAGCCAAGGGTCATGTCCACAAAGGAAATCCGAGCTCACCATGGCTCAGTCGCACCAGTCCCATTAAAGGAATGCTAAAGATAGGGCATCCCATGAAGAAAAAGATTGATGATCTGACACTGCCATCTGAGAAGCATCATACTGGAAAAGATTTTGTTGTCGCAACAGCTGCAGTCCCAGAGACAAAAGAGAGTGGCCAAGGAGATAATTGTATTCAAGATAAACAACCTGTCAGATGCCTGAAAATACAGACAGTGCAACCTGTACAAAAGCAGCTCATTTCCAGAGATGGCTTTTCCTTTGGAGATGGCAATCACCCATCAGACAGCAGTCAGCGCTGTGCAAATGTTTTTACTAAACCGTGCATTGAAACTTGGGCAAATCTCCCTCCACATCAGAAAGAAAGGGAACAACATTTGCGCCTTTACCACCAGCAGTTTCAGCAGCTACCTATTCTACAGCAGAAGTTGAACTATCAACCACTTGAGAGGTTTTTAGCCCAATACAAGCCCCAGGAAATTACAGTTAAACAAGACTGGAGCCTTCCTCCCACGGACTCACAATGCAAAGAGGGGATGCTGCTGGAAGACCTGGACGACAGTGATTTTAGTGAAGACTCTTTCTCACCTATATCCAACCAAAGGAAAGTTAAAAGAAACACCAG